TATGTATTAAAGAAAATATTTAATAAACAAAAATGAAAATAAAACAAATAAATAAAATATATGAAAATAGTTGGGTCAGGGGTGCTGTAAGGAGACAGGGAGTAGTATGTTAGCAAAAACACTAAGGCCCAAAGAAACAAGCCCATCCTGCAAAACAGCAAAAAAATGGGAATGGAAAAATATGAAAAAAAACAAAAGGTAGTGCCAAGGTTCGAACCCATGACTTGGGCCTCACCAGCGCGCTACCTTGCTACTGAGGTGGCTATACATCCGTTGATTTATATGAAACAACAAAAACATAACACAAACAAAGTCCTTGCCCTGTACTTCATCTTCTTCCTCAAGCTGGCCAAAAGCTCTGTAACTTTCTCATTTCTCCATGAAAATGAAAACTTCCAACATGAAAATGGTAGTACTCATTCCCACGATTTCAACCATGTAAATCATGTAAGCTAACAATCAAAGATCAAAACGAATTTTAAAAGCCCTAAATTTAAACCTAATTTTTCCAGGAACTTCAAGTTCAAAATTCTCTCAACTCAGACCAAATAAATGCAAGTTATATATATGTACAGCTTCATAGTAATGATATCTACATTATTTATTCACAAATCGTGGCCAATGGATGCCTGTATGAAGAGATAGAAATTGAGATTCTTACCTCTTTCAGCTGAGATCGTGAATGGAGTTTGAGTGAGATTTAGGAAGGCCTGAAGGTTGCTTTAGCTTGCTTGAACCTCCCTGAGTGTGTTCTAATCCTTGCCTTGCTTTGGAAGTGCCTAGAACTCTCTATCCAAGTCAACCCGCAAGCTTTGAAAACAAAAATGGCAGATGAAGAAGGAGGAGTTATAGTGTAGGGATGAGGGTCTGGATCACTTAGATATGAAGTAGGTAAAGTGTTTGGATGATTGAAACTTGAAACGCACGAGCAAATTGATGGATTGTTATGCTTGGACACAAACTGCAAGTTTTGACAGTTTTTTGGTGATATGGAGTTTTGGAGTGTTTTAGCCCTTTAGCAATCATGCTCTCAACTGTAATATGTTTGTGTATTAGTATGGAAAAGGTTTCAAGTCAGCTCTTCAACATATTTTTCAATCCTAGGCTTTTTGCACACTTTCTTGCTTTTGAAGCTAAGTGAAGGGACAAGTCTCTACCTGCTTGTACTGGCTTTCTTGGAGTTGGTATGAGCTCTATACAAGTTTCCTTATGTCTGTAGTACTTGTGTGTACAGAGAAAACAGGTTCAATGCTCAAGAATTGGAAAGTTGCAAAAGTGAACCTTTTCCAAAATGGCAATGGCAACTTTGTGCCATTTATGGAATTACAACTTGGATAAAGACTCTAGGGCTTGGATTAAAGCTTTGTCAACTGAGTAAGCATTAAATTATGAAGTGAGAATTAAGTTTGGGACCTGTAAAGCATGGATTAGGCAGCATATGTACTGATTTGAAATTTGTTCTTCATGAAATGGCTTGAATTCAAAGTGAGAAATTGCCAACTTCATCTCTTCGATTCTCCCTACTCAAAAATGATCTCAAGGAGTTCTTGGACATTTTGGAAATCTTGAAATATTCTCTATAACTCATCTTTGAAATGCATTTCAAGATTCCCCTTGGAACTAGGTGAAAATTTTCCATGAAGTTGGGTCAAAAACCTGCCTAAGTTAGGGCAAAATTTCACTAAGTTATTTTAGTTCATGGGCATGTGTTCATAAAATTATATCTTGAGATCCAAGCATCTTTAGGGGAAAATGTGTAAATCAAAGTTGTATATTTCATGGAGATCTACAAATTTCATGTTGGGAACTTTCTTTGAATCATCTTGTATCATGGTGGAAAATTGGCCTAAAGTTGAGAAAAAATAAGAAATTTTCTATACTTAGAAAAAATTTGAAGTTAAGAAAAATTCAAATTTTAAAAATCAAATCTTCAATCTTTGATTCCTTGATGAACAAGTTTCATATTTTGACATGTTTTGATAAATTATGATCCTAGGCACTTGATTTTGACCAAAAAGTCAAAGTTTGACTTTTCAGTATACAGTTGACTTTGATCAGTTGATTGCAAATTTCATCTGTCTATCCAATGAATTTGCAATGTTTTGAACCATGTAATTAGGTCAAGATGATACAAATGAACCCTTTAAATCATTATTCAAATCAATTGGTCATTTGCTAGGTCAGAAATTAGAAATTTCCCTTTCTCAGTCAAAACCCTAATTTTGACCATTTTGCCCCTTTGATGATTTGATCAAATTTCTTGAGGAATTGTGGCCCAAACTTGATCAAATGATACATATGAGTCTAAAATGTTGGTGTGGATAAAAAATTATGGAGTTTGACTGTAAATTCGCCATGGTTGACTTTTTCCCCAATACAACTGATTTTTAGGTCAACTGTCCAATTGACTGATCAAAAATGTGATTCAAAGCTTGAAACTTGACATGAGTAATCTTAGGGGTTCATGATGATACTTGAAAGTCATATGAAGCATTGATAGTTCAAAAATCCTTGTGCAATCCCAAACCCTAACTTTGGGTCATCAGGGCATGATGAGATGTCTTGAGCTGGTCAAACCCTAATCCAGTCTTGAGTCAAAGAGATCTTGTGAGAAAAGTCTTGATAAATGAGAGGGAAAATTTTGGGTACAACAGGTTCCTTTTCGATCCTAGATGAGTTTTTTTATTTGTTTGGAAGCTTATGCAATTCAATGAATCTCAATAATATTACATTCATTTCCTAATGTTTGATAATTCATTGCATATGTTACATAGATTAAATTAAAGCCATACTAGTATTTTTTTTCCGATCATTAATTGTATTTAAGATATTCTCTAAGTTTTGATTCATCCATGATTGAACAGACAAAATTTTGAGGTATCTGCAGTGTAACCGAAAACCTAACACTATGTCTTAAAGTTTGTTCTTGATTAATACTAATTAAAATGGATATGAATTCATATGTCAACATACTTGAAGTTTTTGATAGATTAAAGAAAGAAGCAAAAAGCATCTTCTAGTGATCTACTCTTCCAAGGTTATCGTAAAAAGAAGATGAAGGCAATTTGTGACATTTGATAATGTTCTCTGAGTTCTCAACAATTACCAAAGATTCAAGGGTTACAAGGTGTCCCTTTGAATCACTTATTTTATATTGTCAAGATATGTCAATCAAAGGCAATTAGAACATTCGTCGTATAAGTGAGTGGCTTGGAGGCTTCACAAGATAGTTAGGTTCTTGTAGTGCATATGTTGTTGGACTTTGGGGAGTGTTAGAAGGATTAATATTAGTAAAATAGCGTTGATTTCGAGTTATTGAACTTCATATAGATTCCAAAGTGGTTGTTCAAAATATTTTGGAGTGTGGACATGGTAGTATAATTAGAATGTGATTTGTTCATCAAATTCAACAGTTTCTCAAACTAGATTGGGAGGTGCAAGTTTGTCATATTTATTGCGAGTCGAATGCTTATGCACATACACTTGCCAACATGAGGTGTGATCTAGATCCTAATTTGATGCTTTATGAGTGATTTTTTGCTAAAATTTCTCCTCTTTTACTAGCTGATTATGTTGAAGTATCTTCTCCTAGGTTGATTGCTATTAATAATTTCTCTCTGGGCTTCAACCCTCTTTTCTTCCAAACAAAAAAATTAAATATGAAATTTGCGACAACATATTAAAGGAATATGAAAATGTAAGACAAAAATGATGCGAGGATGCAGAAAAACAGATATTTGTTCCGTTGAGGAATGCTATGAGCACTCTTTATTCAATACCATCTAACACTCATTCTTTATTTAATAAAACATATAAAAATATAATTACTTTATGTGATACTCATTTTTAAAGAAAGAGACTCAAATGTGTTTCATCTAATAAAAGCATGAGTGTTTGAGAGTAGGGGTGTAAACGAATCAGAAAAACCAAATAAACCGACAATTCAAATCAAACCAAATAAAAAAAAAACCAAAATTTTTGGTTCGACTTAAAAAACAAATCGAATCAACAAAAACCGAGGTGGTTAGGCCTGATTCTCGATTTTAGTTTTAAGAAATCTTCAAATCGATGAATGAACCGATAATTAAAGTTACACACTTATTTTTATTGGTGTCAACTTTTGTATTTGATGGTAAACTTATTTTGGTTATATTAGTCACTTCCAAGTATCAACTTTTGTACGTGATAGTGAATTTATTTTTATTGTATTAGTCATACTTCTAAATATTAATTTTTATATTTGATAGTAAATTTATTGAATATCATAGATTTAGATAATCCGTAACTTATTTTAAAAATAAAATATGAAATAAATTATATAAAATATATTTTTAAAAAATAATAACATAAAATAAATTCAAAAACATAATAACAAAGAATATATGAATGAATATAATATTTAAAAAAATATTGTAAATCGATCTATCAAAGTAAATCCATCTGTCTGATTTATTCTACTTTTGAAAAACATTAAAAACTAGACCAAATTAAACCAGTGAAAATATTACCAGTTCAAACATATTTATTTACCAAAAAAAATTAATTCAAATCAAATCGATTATACCCCTATTTAAAACACAGTCTTCATAAAAAGGTATCAGAATCCTCTCCTGTTGGTGTCTACTGTTTTTCCTTCTGCTTCATTCTAGACCATTAACTTTATCTAAAAGCATAGAAGAGAAAAAAAAGAGAAAGAAAATTAAGTTATTAAAGTCAAAACCAACAGTTAAGATTGCGCAGGAGAGATGGCAGAACCAAACTTCCCATTTTAAACCATGTTTCCCATACCTGGGATGATCTTTCATAATACAAGATCTAAGCGGTCCATAGTGAGAACACTTTAGTGCCCATACACCCTATCGTATATTCCAATGCCCTCGTTTATTTTCCCCGTTATACCCTTTCTGTTCCTAACTAATCAATCAATCAGACTTCAGAGAGTGAGGGGTTTAGACTTTAGGTTTCTCTTCTCTTCCTCGTTCTTCTTCTCTACACTCACCATGAATTCTCATTCCGTTACTAACCTCCGTCACTCCAACCTCTCACTCCATCCCAACCGTTCATCATTCCCATCTCCGTTATCACCGTCCCTCTCCTTCATCTCCCTCCCACCACCGCCGTCGTTTAAGTTCCAACCTATCAAAGCCTCATCCTCTCCAAACGACCCTGCGTTTCACCGACCTTCCTTACCAAACCCATTCCAAACCCTAACCTCTCTCTTCTCCCCCGTCGTCGAAACCACCTGCATCATCCTCGCCGCTACCGCCTTTTTCTTCATGCGCTTCCACCACACTCCCGTCATCGCCGCTACCCTCGCCACTCCGGCAACCGTTGAGACCTCAGCTGAAAACGAAGAAGAAGCGGAGAAGGTTATCGAAGAGCGGTTGAGCGTAAATCCAAACGACGCGGAAGCTCTGCGTGCTCTCATGGAAGTCAAAATCAAAGCACGGAAGGTCGATGAAGCTATTAATGTCATCAACCGTTTGATTGAGATTGAACCTGAAGAAATGGAGTGGCCTCTATTGAAAGCTAACATGTATATCTACAACGACGACCATGAAACTGCGAAAAAACTGTTCGAAGAGATTCTGCAGAGAGATCCGCTTCGAGTTGAAGCTTTTCACGGTCTCGTGATGGCGTCATCGGAGTCGTCGGAGTCTAATGAACTGTCTAATGAACCAATGAAAGGATTGTTGCAGAGGGTTGAGAAAGCACTGGAATTGTGCAAGAAGCAGAAGAGGGTTTCAGATGTTAGAGATTTTAGGTTATTGGTTGCTCAGATTAAGGTGATGGAAGGGAATTTCTCTGAAGCACTCAAAGCCTATCAGGAGCTTGTAAAAGAAGAACCGAGAGACTTCAGGCCTTATCTGTGTCAGGGTATTATTTATACCTTGCTTAGGAAGAAAGATGAAGCTGAAAAGCAATTCGATCAGTTTCGGAGGCTTATTCCCAAGAATCATCCTTATAAAGAGTATTTTGATGATAACATGTATGGCACCAATTTTTTCGCGCAGAAATTCGAGAGGGAAGGAGCTGGTGCTAGGAGTTGAGAAGAAGGTTCTACTTCGAGGTCCTTATGAGTTTTTTTGCCTCTTTTCTTTTACTGTTCTATGGTTTTTCGGATAGTAATCTTTGTGTTGTTGTAGGTGTAGTTTAGTAGTTTACCTTAGTATTGTTGCTTCAAAACTATTACTGGATGGTTTTCTTGTGGATGTATATATAGAACTATCTTTGATGAACTTCTAAATAACACTCGCGGAGAAAGATTTCCATAACTATGAGTTTTTTCTGCGTCGTCGGTAGCTTATCACGTCGTAATATAGTATGCAAAACCCTATTGCATTGTGGTTTAAAGGAGATGCTGTAGTGCCGCAAATTTTGGCCGCTATCGTGAAGCTCTTGTAAAACCCCGAGTATGACCCCAACCAGGAGGGATCTTCTCTAGGATAGGAAGTGCCGTCACAACCCTAAACTTTTCTTCTTTTAAGAAGATAGTAACAATAGTTTATCTATATATAACTCGAGTTTCCCACATACATGAAATTTATCTAGTTGTGCAGTGTTAAGATTGAGTTATCTGCCTGTAGGTTCCGAGATCGAAAGATATGCCCCATTTTCTTTGTTTCCAGTTTATCGCTTTTGGATAAAAAGCGATAGCCAAGGTTTGAATCTCGCGTGTGTGTTAAAAGAAAGGATCTTACCACTACGCCAACATACAAAATATATTATTTATATTAAATTTAATTTTAATTTTAATTTTAATTTTAATACATATTCTATTATATATAGTTGACCCCTTCAATAATACTGGTCAAGCCCTTCCACAGCCCCCCAACTTATAGTCATTCCTGTTGTTTTTGGGACTTCTTTGTCATTTTGTCCTAAAGTTCTAAATGTCAGTGAAATAAGACTTTATAGTCTTGTCATTTCTTCTCCAAAATGACTTCATTTCTTACCTAAACCCTTGATGGCTTTGTCTCCACTCCTCCTTGATTGACTCTCGAGCAGACTCTGGTGCCACTGTATCTATTCTAAATGCTTAGATGAGATGTTTTAGCCTTGGAGGCTAAATACTAATTTGCCCTATATTGGATAATGTTGTCAAATAGTGGCGCTAGCATATTGGGTTTTGATGACTCCACTATGAATGGAAACAGCAATGCTATCCTAGTTTCGCTAGTAGGGCAATATTGGCCGCTATCATAGTTTTTGCTAGCTGATTGGCGGCAATAGGAGAAAAAATCACGGTTTTTCAAAATAATAAAACTGAAGAATCTGCATGTGTGCTAAACATTACTTGTATTTACACTAGAAAAACTGAATGTCAGTAAGTATTACTCCTATATTCACCATAATGCCTAAATCTTTAAATATATAAGCTATCCTTTTCTCCTCCGAAAAACCAAAATTATTCAGTAAATTTGTACTCCCTCCGTCTCATAATAAGTGTCTCATTTAAACTCTACGCGGTTTTTAAGAAAATGATTAGATGTGTTGATTTTAATGATAAAATTAGTATCATTTACTAAAACACCCTTATTTATTATAGTTAGTAGAATAGTTGAAAAACGTGAAAGCTAATATATATGTTGCATTGGTATTCTAAAGAGACATTTATTTTGAGACATAGAAAAAGTGCAAATGAGACACTTATTATGAGACGGAGGGAGTAATGTTTTAAAGGTAGTTTTGGGTTTTTCCATCAAATTTGAGTCGAGACTCAGCCCCTACTTTCATCCATCGTTTCTTTTCTTTGTAACATTTCCAGCATACAAACCTCGTTCTTGCTTCGTAACATTTCCCTCCTCTCTCCTGTCTGCACTTAGTATTTCATCCATAGTTTCTTTTCTTTTTCTTCTCTGTTTCTTTCTTTTATTCAAAATTTCCCCCTTGTTTTCTCATCATCTGTTTTTCTTTTTCTTCTCTGTTTTATTCTGAGCTTCATTGTTCCTCTGTTTTTTTTCTTCCTCTGTTTTTGGACTCATGGGCTCATGGCAAAATCTTCCATCATCAAACTCTGCATCTGTTGCTTCTATGCTAGTTTGAATTTTAATATCTAGAATTCTTAGTATTGGAGACTTTTAACACTTCCATATGCTTCTTTATTTCCTTGACTTTTGTTGGGTTTTGGAATGTATTGTTTTGATGAAGACTTGTTGATGTTGATTGAGTGTTTTGGTTACGATTTGTAGGCTTTTAACTGTTTTTTTATTATGCTTTGTGCTTTGATTTATAAATCTTTTATGGGTTTTTTGGTTATCTGTTGAATTTTACATTAAATATATGTGTACTTTGTCCAAAAATTCTATATGCTATTCCACCATCCCACTTTTGGGATTGGCCGCTCCCGCGCAGCTGTCCGGGATTGACAACTATGTCATCAACGCAGAGAAGCTACTTTGATACTGAAACATCAAACTACACATCGCTTCTGCTTTTAATATTTTAAGGTGCTAAGTTTTTGTTGGTTTCCCACTTCAGCTATATTTCCATCTTTCAAGTAGGATTTCTTTTCTTCCTATCTTTTGGGAGCTGGAAGAGTCTAGCCAGTTGACAGATAGCCATACAACAATACATGATGATAGTCATAATAATTTTTATGTTCTAGTGAAAACATACATAGAGATCGACATGCAAATATATGATTATCAATTAAATCAATTTTGGTTAAACTGACCGAGCAACTCCTTGTCTCTAGCCAGGCCAGAAGAAAAATAATTAAACTGAATACCTATCTGGTTAACCTTAGATGCTGTCTCTAATATTAGGGTGACAACTAAAGTATGAATCTGTGACAATTTCCATGGAACTTGTTGCTTTAAGCCGAGTTCAATCTCATTGATTGCATTGCATGTAACCCTGCTTGTTTATTATGTCTGGCCTTATTCAATTTCTTACATGTAGCTTAAAAATTCAAAAGGTGTGTCAGTCTAACTGCACTTTCATGGATGGGATGGTGTATTATGTCCTGTTTTGTCTATTTGATAAATTGTTTTATTTGAGGTCAAAGGTATCTGCTATTATGTATTTTGCAAGACGCGTTTATAATATAATTCCAGGAATGAAGGTCGCGATCTTTCCAAGCATTTACCTTCTCTAGCTATTTCATTTTCTGAGGTGATTCTAGGGAGTTTCATGATATGGATCAAAGTTTTAGACAGAGGTCGTGATAACATTTTGGTCCTAGATAATGCGGATAAATTTGGATGGACTGCAATTGTGTTGCAATATACTAGATCCAAAAAATTTGAAAGCTGAAATTGCGGGATGCATACTTTTGTTCTAAATCCTGACCCGGACAACATCACATCAATTTCTCAGTTTGTGCGGTCTGTGTTGGGTAGCTAGTAGCCTTGTACACATTTTTTACCCTTATGTATTTGATAGTGTTTTTAATCCAAAAAACTTGCTACCTTTATGCTTTTATTTGATTTTGGGTGTTGCCATTTTGCTTTTTCTTCAGATTCTGATCGGACGATATGTTATTTTACAATGGAAGCATTAGTAAAAAATTTAGTTATGTTTTATGAATTTTTCAAAACTAAACAAGATTGTGAATATAAATATTAGTGAAAAGGTTGGGACGCCCTTCATATAGGAGAGCGACATCTTAAGGTGGTGTGGCGCATTTTTCTAATAGGGTTATGAGATAAATAGAGGACAAGAAAAGTTGTAGCACAAACTGTATTAATTACATGTATTAATTACATTAGTATTAGTTACTGCCCACACTGATAGTTTCCTAACAATTTCCTCCTCAATACTAATGTGTGTGAGTTGAATGTGCAAGAAACTGCAAATATTTCAAACCTAGCTCGCATGAAGTACATCTGGGTATATAATTGAATCAGCGACATGTTTCAGAGTCGAACAATAAATGATCATCGTAGGATGACGCAAATCAGCTGGTACAACAATAAAAAAATTAGTAATTTATATGATACTAGATGTCTTTCTACCAAACATCACTTGCAATTTCCCATAATTCTATTTACCGAGATCTTCGAGTCGCTTCCTACAATGAGATGATAAAATATCTCAAGATGAAGCACAAGCTTCAATTTTTTTGTTATAACCCTTGATTTATCTTGCTTCTGAGTTGCATAATAACTAGCCACACCCTGCAAGGTTACCATCTCCTTTGCAAGCACCATCACCGTTAAACTTTATCCTTCCGTTAGGGGGCATCTTCTGATCAGTGGAGAATGTCTTTTTGGATTGCACTTTCTTAACATATGATCGATTGGGTGTTGAAAATTATTTTAAAAAATAGATTTATTCTGGCACATCCGCAAAAACAAGCAAGTGGCAATGAAAGTAGTTTTCCAATTTATATCAATAGTTACAATTCTGTTCCTTTTTCCAATTTATATCAATAGTTACAATTCTGTTCCAATTTATATCAATAGTTACAATGTTAGTATTTGTTTCTATTATGTAGTTAATAATTCCTATTTGTTATGAAGGAATAGTGGGATTGACTTAGTTGTTCCACTATTCACTACTCTCAAGACCCATAGGGCGGATGGTATACCCGCTTTATTTTACAAGAGATTTTGGCATGTTGTTGGTAGGAAAGTTAAAGACTGATTTTGGACATTCTTAACAATGGAAAAAAAAACCAACGCTCTTAACAAGACGTTCATTTGTCTGATTCCCAAATGCAAGAACCCTCAATCATTGAAGGATTTTCGGCTAATTAGCTTGTGTAATGTGACGATGAAGCTGGTCACCAAGTGCATTACTAACAGAATTAACTCTCTAATATCATTGATTAATTTAATAATGCGTCTAAGAGGGGAGTGAATTAGGTGATGGTCAATTTTTGTCTTCTTTTCAAAATTCTTATTTTTTTGATTATGGTGAAGAAAGTAATAAAGTGCGAAAAGTAAATGAACATCATATGTATACTAGTTTTTCTCACAGATTGAGAGTACTATAGTCTTCTTGTCAGCATAGAAGAGATTTCACTATAGTTTAGAATAATTGCACAAGCCTAATCACATTAAAGGTGATGTCTTACTATCTAATCTATAAGGAGATTAAAGGC